AGAGGCCTTTGCTGCATATCAGAGCTGGGCCTCATGCTATGCCCTTTCCTGGCATGAGTCATTTTTTACCTTTGTGTTATTTAGCTGCAGTTTTCAAAGCTCTTTCACAAGACAGGATACCAGATTCCCAAACAACACTAGAACTAGACTGGGTAGATATTGTTCTCATGGAGAAAATAATGATTCAGAGAGGGAAGTGACCTATCCAAGTTCACAGAGACACAAGGACGTCTGTCCTCTGAACGTGACCCCATCCCTGGGTACCTCCCAGCTGGAGGAATCCTGCAGGATCCGTGGGTGTGTTTGGGGCTGTCCATACATCCTCTGAAAGTGCCAACAGCATTTGGGGCATTTGTCTGAGAGTCCTTAGAGCTCATCAGATTCTTTTTGCTGTCAAACAGTAAGAATAGCAGCTTTCAAATAAGTGGTCCAAAGTCCTACTGTGCAGCAGTCACCCACAGCTGCGCCCACCTAATGGGGCCTCCTTTCTTTGGGTTCTGGGGTCTGCAGGGCATAGTCATGACCCAGAGCTTGATCAGGCCAGGGAGACTGCTGCCCTCTAATGTTTGGCTGCCATTGAATCTGGAGCTGCCCAGGCAGCAGACACCATGCCAGGAGAGCTGGGTCTCACCAGACACTGCCTTTGGAGGGCACGGGTAGCTTCCTTCCAAGAGGGCGGATACGGCCGAGGCAGGTTCAGGCACAGCCACTCCTCTGGATAGCTCTGCCCTCAACTGGAGTCTCACATGGCACTGCACCCTTAAGTTCTACTTCTTCATCTGCAAATGAGAAGTACTAGTACCCATTTCATAGCTCTCCTATACGCTACTGTGAACTGGCCAGAAAAATATAACACAAAAATTCCCACTTACAACAGCAAAGCCAAGGAATGAAGTGTACAGAAAATGTACAATACTCATAATAAACTGCAGTAAACTATGCAATACTCGTAAAAAAAAATCTGCTGAATGACACTGAGGGACGTTAAATAAAAGGCAAAAACACCACACTGACAGCTCAACATTGTAAAATGCCATTAGCCCAAATGTATGAGTCTTATGCAATTCTAATAAAAAATCTTAGGTTTATTTTTAATGTGACAAAATGAATTCACCTGGAAATAAATTGATGTGTGAATAGAGTCATAAAATTTCTGGGAAAAAGGGATGGGGTGGTTCTGCATTCTCAGACAGTAAAATACATTTTAAAGCTTCAGTGATATACAGAAAACAAAAACAGTGTGAAATGGAGACAGGACAGGCAGCTCAATGGAAAGAAGAGAAGGCCCAGGAGCAGATCCTATGTGTAACAAGAAATCGGTAGTGTTTGTTGAATGGGATATTCAAATTAGTAACGGGAAGATTTATTATTTAATAAATGATGTTGGAATAATATAAAAAACAAAGCTACTGGCCTGGGCAACATAGCAAAATCCCATCTCTACAAAACACACACACACACATAAGAAAAATTAGCTGGGCATGTGGGCGGTGCCCCTGGCTCCAGCTCCTTGGGAGGGTCAGGTGGAAGGATCACCTGAGCCCAAGGAGGTCAAGATTGCAGTGAGCTGAGATCTTGCCACTGCACTCCAGCCTCGGTGACAGAGTGAGCCCCTGTCTTTAAAAAAAAAATAGGAAAGAAAGAAAAGAAAAATAAAGCTAGATTCCTACTTCATCCCAAGTTAAACTCACAATCTTAGTTTCTTCCTAAGTAAGAGGTGATAAAAATGGTTTCCTTATCATAATTGTAGGGGTGAAGTGAGATTATGCATGAGAATTTCTTAGCCCAATGTCCAGCTCATATCCTCCACTCAATTAGTATTACCTCATATTATTATTAGTGTTATGATTAGTCCAGATGAATTATAATCTAAACATCTAATGACAAAATTGCAACATTACTGAAAGTTTAGGCAAATACTTCCCTGATCTCAAGGTGGGAATGGTTTTCATTGAAGCAAAGGAAGAAACCACCCAAGCAGGGTGTACCAACAACCTTAAAATGTCTTTATCCTTTGACCCAGCCATTCCACTTTTATGAAGTTTATCTTAAGTATGTTCTCGGATAAATGTGCAAAGATGCTATTGAATGTTTTTTATAAGAGCAAAACAGAGGAACAACTTGAGTGTCAAAAAAGGCATGGTTAGAAAACTTTTAGGCTCATGCCTGTGATCCCAGCACTTTGGGAGACTGAGGAGGGCAGATCACTTGAGGTCAGGAGTTCAACACCAGCCTGGCCAACATGATGAAACCCCATCTCCACTGAAAATACAAAAATTAGCTGGGCATGGTGGTGGGCACCTGTAATCCCAGCTACTCAGGAAGCTGAGGTAGGAGAATCACTGGAACCCATGAAGCAGAGGTTATAGTGAGCTGAGATCACGCCAGTACACTCCAGCCTGGTTGACAAATAGAGATTCTGTCTCAAAATACAAACAAACAAAACTTTTGTTCAACCACACAATGAACTATGCTGCCACTAAAAATGAAAAATTATCTTACCAGTTGGGTACGGTGGCTCATGCCTATAATCCCAGCACTTTGGAAGGCCAAGGCACATGAACCATTTGAGGCTAGGAGTTCAAGAGCAGCGTCGGCAACATAGCGAAACCCCCACCTCTACTACAAGTACAAAAATTAGCTGGGCCTGGTGGCACACACCTGTAGTCCCAGCTACTCAGGAAGCTGAGGCATGAGAATCGCTTGAGCCTGGGAGGTGGAGGTTGCAGTGAGCCAAGACTGCACCACTGCACTCCAGCCTGGGAGACAGAGCGAGACTCTATCTCAAAAAAGTAAAAATAAAAAATCTTACTGAACATTAATTGATTTATTGGGAAGAAATACTTAGAGTACTAATCATGACACAAAATAGCATATACTGCATGATATCTTAAACATACCAAAATATACACCAAAATGGTTACTTCGGGGTGGGGGAGTAACTTAGTTCTTTTTCTTTATTCTTTCCAAACTCTCTATAATAAATCTGCTTATATTACATTTCTACCAAATTTAATAGTGGTTTTTTTTTTCTCTGAGACATGGTCTTGCCTTGTTGCCCAGGCTGGAGTGTAGTGGCATGACCTTGGCTCACTGAAGCCTCAACTTCCCAGGTTGAATCAAACCTCCCACCTCAGCCTCTGGAGTAGTTGAGACTACAGGCGCATGGCACTATACCAGGCGAATTGTTGTTGCTATTGTTGTTTTGTAGAGACAGGGTTTCACCATGTTGTCCAGGCTGGTCTCAAACTCCTGGGCTCAAGTGATCTGCCTGTCTCAGTCTTCCAAAGTGCTGGGATTACAAGCATGAGTCAGCCACCACACCCAGCCTTCATAGGGATTTTAAAAGTTTATTTTGCAATTTAAAAAAATTGGGGTCTGGGCTGGGTGGCTCATGCCTGTAATCTCAGGGGTTTGGAAGGTTTGGAAGGCCGAGGTGGAAAGATTGCTTAAGGCCAGAAGTTTGAGGCCAAAGTGAGCTATCATCTTGCCACTGCACTCCAGCCTGAGCAACAGAGCAAGACCTTGTCTCTCTCTCTAAAAAAAAGTAAATATTGGTGTATTTCCAGATAATTTGTGCATTTAAAAGTCAATTATTGAGCAGAGGTTTTACAAAAGACACTCTTTTATTTTTGTCAGAGTCTTGTTGGAGTGCAGTGGCACAATCTTAGCTCACTGTAACCTCTGCCTCCCGGGTTCAAGCAATCCCCCCCTGCCTCAGCCTCCTGAGTAGCTGGAACTACAGGCACATGCTACCATGCCAGGTTAATTTTTTTTTTTTTCAGTAGAGATAGGGTTTCACCATGTTGGCCAGGCTGGTCTTGAACTCCCAACCTCAGGGGATCCACCTGCCTAGGCCTCCCAAAGTCTTAGGATTACAGAAGTGAGCCACCATACCTGACCTGCAAAAGATACTTCTCATCCTTGTTTCTCAAACTGGGGTAAATCTGTGGCTTCTGCTAATAGGTCATCACGAGAACATGTGCACAATTGACTAATTTTCCCCTCGACATTACTTTCACATGAAAACAAATCCAAATGAATTATAAGAGAAATTTGAAATGCTTATGATTTCTTTTTTCAGATAGAGCAAGAGACCAGGCAGCCATCAACCCCCAGATGGCGGCTGCTTCAGGCAGATCCTTGTCCATGAGCTCTGTCTTAGCTGCTTTGGAGAGGAGGAGGAGGGGCGTGCTGCAAGCCCATGGCACTGCAGCGACATTTGTCCCCATACCTGGGGAAGCGGCTGAAAACATAAGCGGCCAGTCTTAGGTTTTCTTGAAAGTTCAAAGTCTCAGGTGTCACAAGTCCCCAGAGCCAAAGATTCCCTCAGGTGGAGGCTTGCTTCCCAGAAGCCTCCCAAACAAACAGCAATAAGTAAATGAGACGCGAGAAGCGGGCAGGCAGCCCGCTTGGGGCAGGATGCAGGGCTCCGGGTGGCCCGAGCGCAGAAGAGGCTGAGGGCTCCCAGCACAGCAGCCTGCTCGGGCACCTCCTTTCCAAGGACCTCACGCTCCCCTCAGCAGTTGGTGCCTCTGGGCAGGACAAGGTACACAAAATGGGAATGCACAGGCTGCCTGGGTGAAACTTGGTAGGGTCTGGGAGCAGGCTGGGCTGGCAGGAATGCTGTGAGGCTGGCAAATTCTGCGCAGGGAGAGGTGGAGCTCACACCAGCAGCCCACAAAATGCCAAGGCCTAGGATGCTGACCACGGGGTATCTCACCACGGCAACCTGTGTCCCAGGCTGCTCAGGGGTGCCAGGAAACAGACGTCCAGGGGCGAGCCTTGGCGTGTCTCACACTTTCTGGGCCTCTGAGTCCATGGATGTTAGCCCATACCCAGGAGAGAGGCTCACCATTCAGAGGCGTGGGAGGTGCTGTGGCAGGGAACTTCCCATAAGCTCTCCCTGCTCTCACCATGGGCTGCAGCCTTGACCTTGGCTTTGCTTATGAGGGAGACAGTGAGGAAAGCCTTCCAGCAGAGTGGACACGTGGGGGAGGCCATAGGACAGCCAGCATTCATGGAGATTTTACTCCAGGGCAGACCCTGTAATAGCTGCAGACATGCATTTTCTCACATTTTTTCATCACAATTACTGGATTATCTCCATTTCACAGGTGAGGAAACTGAGGCTTGGAGATAGAGGATAGTCACACAGCTAGTGAATTGCTAGCTGGGGGTGGACGGAAACACACCCACATCCACCAGACTCCTGAGCCAGGCACCTCTGCAGCCTTAGCTCTGGGTCATTATTGAGCCTACCCCTGGGCCCAGCCACTGCAACCCTCCAGGCCCTTCTCAGCCCAAAGGCCCCTTGTGCTCCCTTGCCTTGCATCCTTGATCAGGTCCCAGGGATCTTCCCAGTTTCCTCTCCTTGAGAAAGCTGTCACTCCCCTCTCTGGCTAGGACGTGGCCGAAGGTGAAACGCTGACCTCCCCTCTTCTGCCTCCAACACAGGCTTCTCCTCCCTGCTTCCCTGGGTTGGGTTTCCTCTGGAGAACCAGGTAAGTGATCACCGAAATAGCAAGCATGAGTTTACAAAGGCTCTAGAACCAAGCTGAGTTCTCACACCCGCTCCCTGGTTGGTGGTCCCTGACTGCCACTGAGGACATTGGAAACTCAGGTGGAATCTGAACTCTACATTTATTTCTGAGAGTTAAGTTTATTAAGACCGCTGCTTTTACCCCCACCCGATTCTTTCCTTCTCCTAGTCCCTTTATCTGATCTACTCTAGTGGCCAGAGGTGGTGATGGCAGGAAGGCTCACCCTTTCTTGGGTGGGCTATTTGCTTCTCTGTAATTTTCCATTCCATCCCATCCCAGTCTCCACCTGTTCCCAAGGAAGCCAAAAATGGGGCATTTGATTTGCGTGTTTCAGAGTCTCTTATCTTCGCATGAGCAATGCCCAGATCCTAATTGACCCTAGAGATGAAAGCTGTCTCAGGATCCATCCAGGAGACCATACCTTAAAAACATGGAAAATTGGAGCCTACTGTTTTTGTTTTCTAAGCTAAGTCAAGGGTTCAAAACAATAAATTTTTCTTTATGCAGGAGAAGTAGTGCATGTGGCTATTAGCCCACAGCTGCTGAGCCACTGGATTTCACCCACAGCTGTGTGTGGGTCAGCAAGGTGACAGCTTAGAGATGCAAAAGTGGGAAAGGATCTGGGCATGGTGGCTTATGTCTGTCATCCCAACATTGTGGGAGGCCAAGGCGGGAGGATCACTTGAGCCCAGGAGTTCGAGACCAGCCTGAACAATATGATGAGACCCCCATCTCTACAATTTTTTTTTTTAAACTAAAAAACAAGCGAGAAGGGAAACTCCATTTCACAGAGTTGTTGAGTGAATTAACTAGACAACACCTATGCCATTCCTGGTACATAGTAAACACCAAATACATGTTAGCTGTGATGATGCTGTGGAATCATGACACTTCGGGGCTTCTGACATTCACTGAATGATATCAATGTTCACCGGATGGAGAGGCTCCATGGCCGAGGCCCGGTGCAGGGCACCAAGGAGCCAGTGGTGGCAACATGTTGCCCTGACTTAGGGAGTCCAGTGTGAAGACAGACAATAAACAAGTAACCGTGCATGGTAGGCACTCAATGAAGATTTGCTGCAATATATAAATATAAAATACATGTATGATGAGTTTTTGATGGGAATATGCTGTAAAATCAAGTTTAGCCTAAAGCCGCCTCTTTACATATTTAAGTTCGGCCGAACGGTTTCTCTGTAGGTCGTGAGCTCTAATAAGTGGAGGTGTAAACTGACCGTCGCCTGCATCTGCGCCAGTCACTGAGTTTTGGCCAATCAAATGTAGCCAACTGTTCAAATCATGTTCAAATAAGGCAAACGCCGAGCTGTAACCAGTCCGGCTGTTTCTATACCTCACTTCCATTTTCTGTATGTCACTTTCCTCTTTCTGTCCATAGTTTTTCTTCCACCACGTGGCTGCACTGGAGTCTCTGAATCTGCTGTGATGTGGGGCTGCCAAGTTGGCGAATCGTTCATGGCTCAATTAAACTCCTTTAAATTTAATTTGGCTGAAGTTTTTCTTTTAACAACGCAAAGTGCTGCGTGGGTGAACCTGGGGGTGGAATCCAGCCCAGACCTCCCTGGGGAGGTGATGCTGAAACAGAGTCTCGGGATGAGAAGGATTTAGCCAGGGGCTTCGCAGCAACTTTGGCCATTTTCCAACAGCTCAGTTGGTCTAAAGGGTTGGTCTTCGTTAGGAGGGTAGACCGTTCAAATGTACCTCAATGGACATATGGATTTTAAAAATGCGGTATATACATACAATGTAGTATTATTCAGCCTTAAAAAATCCTGACGTTTGTGGCAACATGGATGAACCTGGAGGACTTTATGTTAAGTGAAATAAGCCAGATACAGAAAAACAATTACCATATGATTTCACTTATACGTGAAATCTAAAAGAGTCGAACTCATAGAAGCAGAGTAGAATTGCCAGGGGCTGAGGGGAGGGAAGATGGGGACATGTTGGTTGAAGGGTTCAAAGTTTCAGTTACACAATATGAATAAGTTGTGGGGATGTACTGTACAGCGTGGAGACTATAGTTAACAATTCTGTATTATATACGGAAAGTTTGCTGAGAGGATTTTTTTTTTTGAGATGGAGTCTCACTCTGTTGCCCAGGTTGGCGTGCAGTGGCATGATCTTCGCTCACTGCAACCTCCGCCTCCTGGGTTCAAATGATTCCCCTGCCTCAGCCTCCTAAGTAGCTGGGACTACAGGCACATGCCACCACCCCCGGCTAAATTTTGTATTTTTTGTAGAGATGGGGTTTCACTGTTTTGGTCAGGCTGGTCTCAAACTCCTGACCTTGTGATCCACCTGCCTCGGCCTCCCAAAGTGCTGGGATTACAGGCATGAGCCACTGCACCTGGCCCAGGAGGATAGATCTTATGTGTTCTCGTCTCTCTCTCACACACAAAGAAGAAAATGGTGATTGTGTGAGGTGATGGATATGTTAATAAGCTTGATGGCAGTGATCATGTCATAATGTTTACATATATCAAAACACCAAGTTGTACACCTTAAACATACACAATTTTCATTTGTCAATTTTATCCCAATACAGCTGTTTTTGTTTTTTAAAAAGAGTTCAAAGTTCTAATACCTAAATTACTTTTCCAGGCCTGGTTAATTCTCATTCTTTTGCCAGTAACTTTTAGTAGAAGGAAGGACAGTCTTCCTGCCCCCTTCCTAATCCTCCCCTCCACCCATCCCAATACAGTGGCTTTGATGAGTTCTGCTCTGAAGCACCCAGCGGTCAACAAGCACCAAGAATCCTGAGCCAGCCGGGCATTATCTCCTGGCAGGCTTGCTTTTCACCAAGGCCTCCTGGCCCTCACATGTTCAAGTTATTTTATCTTGCCTTCAAAGCTTGTAGTGATCAGAGGTATTAAACTCTGGAGCCAACAGCTGACATTTGTTGAGCAAGATCTCATGCAATGTTTGTAGCAGCCCTGTGAGAGAGGTTCCCCTATTATCAGCCTGATTTACAGAACAGAAAAGTCACTTGCCTGAGATTACACAGCCAGCCGAGAGGCTGAGATTCAGATTCACACATCTGATTCCCAAGTGCTTGGGTTTAACCCCCAAGCTGCCTGTCTCTTGGCAGACTCAGTGGATCAATCTGCTAAAGTTGACCTGAGGAATTCCCTCCTTCACCTCTGAGCTTATATCCAATCATCACCCTTCAAGTTTTCATCACTCCTATTTCCCTTTAAAGACAACTGACTCACAGACCCATGGAGTCAGAAGTTTATGTCATACTGACAGATCAGTAAGTCCCCAAGAGAGGATGTAGAGTCCTGTCTTGCAAGAAACCCCAAGAACCAGCAGGTCTCTCTGCTCCAGTGCCCCAGGGTCCCTTGTCAGCCATGGCCAGGGCTGAGGCAGGCAGAAATCAGCCTGAAAAAAGCATGAAAAACAGTGTTCAGAGCCATGATCGGGGTGGGTCCAGCGGGCTGCTTCCTGGCATGCTGATCTATACCGGGGCTCAGGCATCACTGGAGCGAGTGTGGAACCAGATAACTCAGTTTCTATGCATGTCTCTTCTCAACTGTGTTGTGAAACTTGGTGTAGTTTCTGCCAAAGAAAACACAGCCATTGAGTAGGAATAAAATATATATTTGTCCCTGGTCCACTCAATTCTGCCGAAAATATTCTCACAGGCTGCCTGGTACAACTTTTCCTGAAGTGACCCGTGCCATGACTGGAGCTGTTTCCAGGAAATAAATGGTTTAGTAGCTGAATTTAAAACACTTTGATGGATTGGGTTTGGTGGTTAATGTCTGCAATCCCCACACTTTGGGATGCCAAGGCGGCAGGATTGCTTGAGGCCAGTTTGAGACCAGCCTGGGCAACATAGGGAGACCTCGTGTGGTGTTATGAAGTAGATTGGTTTTCGTCCAGCTCCCATAGCCCTGGCTCATAGCTCCCATAGCCCTTGTTTCAGTCTTTTGTTAGAATATTGGGTGCATTAGGGCTCAACCCCTGACCTTCTCCCACCCTCTTTTCGCTCTAATATTCCCTCACCTTTCTGACTGTTAATTTTTTTTTTTTTAGACAGAGTCTCACTCTGTCCCTCAGGTTGGAGTGCAGTGGAGCAATCTCAGCTCAGTGCAACTTCCGCCTCCCGGGTTCAAACTATTCTCCTGCCTCAGCCTCCTGAGTAGCTGGGATTACAGGCACCTGCCACCATGCCCGGCTGATTTTCATATTTTTAGTAGAGATGGAGTTTTACCATGTTAGTCAGGCTGGTCTCCAACTCCTGTCCTTGTGATCCACCTGCCTCCCAAAATGCTGGGATTACAGGCGAAAGCCACCGCACCTGGCCTGATTGTGAATTATAAGAATCTCCCAAGAGAGGGTCCCACCCTGTGCCCTGGGGGAACGAATGCTGATGTAATGGAGCTTCCATGAAAGCCCAAGAGGACAGGGTTCAGGGAACTTCCATCTGGATAGCTGAACACAGGGAGGTTCTCGGAGTGCAGCACCCAGGGAGAGCATGGCAGCTCTGCACCCCGTCCCTGACACCTTGCCCTATGCACCTCTTCATTGGTATGCTTTGCAATATCCTTTGTAATAAACCAGTTTCCCTAAGTTCTGTGAGCCGCTCCAGAAAATTAATCGAACCCAATGTGGGAGCCGTGGGAACCCCAACTTGAAGCTGGTCAGTCAGAAGCTCTGGAGACTAGGCTTGTGACTGGTGTGGAGGGCGGTCTTGGGGGTCTGAGCCCTCAACGTGTAGATCTGACACTGTCTCTGGACAGATAGTGTTGGGACTGAATGAGGACACACAGCTGGTGTCCGCCACTTGGTGTTTGGGGAAGAAAACCCCACACATTTGGTCATAGAAGTCTTCTTTTGTGTTGATGATTGTTGTGGTGTAACAGTTGACAAAAAACACAGAGAGAGTTTTCCCTATTCACTGTCTCTACAAAAAATAAAAAAAAATATTAGCCTGGCATGATGACATGCGCCTGTACTTCCAGCTCCTCAGGAGGGTGAGACAAGAGGATCGCTTGAGTCCAGGAATTGGAGGCTGCCATGAGTTATGATTGTACCACTGGTGAAGCCTGGGTGACAGAGTGAGACTCTGTCTTTAAAGAAAAAAATTGCTGGGTGCAGTGGCTCAAGGCTGTAATCCCAGCACTTTGGGAGGCTGACGCAGGTGTATCACCTGAGGTCGGGAGTTTGAGACCAGCCTGACTAACATGGAGAAACCCTGTCTCTACTAAAAATACAAAATTAGCTGGGCATGGTGGTGCATGCCTGTAATTCCAGTTACTCTGGAGGTTGGGACAGGGGAATCGCTTGAACCCAGGAGGCAGGGGTTGCAGTGAGCCAAGATTGTGCCATTGCACTCCAATCTGGGGGACAAGAACAAAACTCCATCTCCTCTGACTCCCCCAGAGCCCCTATCTCGATGGTGCAGGGGAGGTTGACTCTACTCCTTCAGTGGGGTTGGCCTGATGGGTCTAAAGGTCATCGCAGGCCTTTAGTCTCAGTGATTGGGGCAGACACCTGGACCTGAGCCCAGCAGTGCAGAGCACGCTTCCTGGACAAATGAATGATTCAGGAGTGAGAGATATGACCCTAATGAGAGGGTTGCTTGTTAGTGGTATCTGGGAAAGAAGTGTCCTTTCCCTTAAAACAGAGTCTTTCTCTTCAGTGGGATGTGGTAGCAATTCTGGGGCTACTATAGCCATTTTTTTAAAAAACATAAACATAACATTTATCATTTAACCACTTTTTTTTTTTTTTTTTGAGATGGAAGCTCATCATGTTGCCCAGGCTGGTCTTGAACTCCTGGCACAAGTGATCCTCCTGCCTCAGCCTCTGGAGCAGCAGGGACTGCAGGCGCACACCACCACACCCGGCTGTATACATCACATGTTGTTTATCCATTTATCCACTGATGGACAAAGGCATTACCTCCACCTTTTTGGGCTGCAGCTTAAATTCTTTTTAATTCTGCTTTTAATTTTAACTCTGCTCCTCTGAGATGAGCCAGCCTGTGCATGAAGCAAGGCTTGAAGGAAAACACTGCTGCATGGATTGCTGGGCCACTGGACTGAACTGCTTTGAAGCTGGCCCTCCCAGATCCGGATATGTGGATCTGTAATGAAGCAATGAGTTACTTCATTGTTGAATTGAGGTTTAGGTTCTTAGAGCTATGAGCCGCCTAATTGATGCATCTTCCGAGAAGTTGCCCAGTTTAAAAAACTTAAGAAGAAATAAAAAATGAACAGAGCCACAGAAAAGTGGGAATTATTTTGCCGATGTGAATGCTGCTGGAAAAAAATTTAACTATGTTTTGTAGCAATTTTAAAGCAAGACTTTGTAACTCTACCTATGTGAGTTAATTCTTTCCTGATTTGTATGTGACTAACCTTATGAATGGTGGAAAAACAGAAAAGAAAGACAAATTTGATTAGGTTAAAATGTTTTGTTATAGCCAATATATGTCCTAAATCCCTT